TTTTGCATTATATCAATCTATATTTAGAAAGATTTACATCATTAAAAAAATATTCCCACAATGGTCTCAGCTCATGAATATTTAGTTAAATATTCAAAATATAAAGAAAACTATTATGCAGACAATAATAAACTATTTTGTAAATATTGTTCACATGTTGTGAATCATCAAAGAAAATCTGTAATAGATGAACACTTACGAACTCAAGCTCACATCAATAAAAAGCAAGCTTCAATTAATAATAATAATAATTCTCGTCAAGTAACTTTACCAACATGCCAACGGAAAATAACTGAAAAACAAAAAATTAATTATGAATTAGTTAAAGCATTTGCTTTGGCAGATATACCACTTGAAAAAGCAGAAAAACTAAAACCTTTTCTAAAAAATAATTGTCAAAATGGTATATATCAATTTGTTTTTTATTTTTTAACTTTTGATTTACTATATATATTTATTCACAAAATTCACATTATTATAATAAATTAGGTGGATCAATAGTTGGTGCAAATCAATTACGTGAGAGATATTTGCCTGAAGTTTTTGAATCTGAAATTAATAATTTAAAATTATTATTTAATGATAATTACATCTCAATCACAATTGATGAAACAACTGACAGCTGTGGAAGAAGTGCAGTTAATGTTTTATTTAGTATTAAAAATTTAACCAAATTAGTCAGAGTTGATTTTCTTGAGAAAGTTAACCATACAACTATTGCACAACTTGTGGTTTCTACATTGTCAATTTACAACATTCCATTCCATAATATAATTTTCTTCATTAGTGACAATGCAAGTTACATGAAAAAAGCCTACACTGATATTCTTCTACCTTTAATTCCAAATTTAATCCATAATTGTTGCATTGCTCATATTTATAACTTGGTTGGAGAAACATGGTCAGATTTCAGAGAGTTTACCATTGTCAATGATGTAGTTAAAAACATTAAGAAGGCATTTGTTTATTCTAGTGCTAGAAAAAGAAGGTGGCGTGAATTTTTAGCTAGAAATGCTATTTCTGAAAATTTATTTCCATCTGGATCAGAAATTGAAACATTATCATTATCACCAACACCATCATCATTGATTTCAACTTCTTCAATATCAACATCCTCAACAGAAAATAAAATTACTCTACCACCACTTCCAGTAAAAACAAGATGGTGTTCTTGGTTTAGATTCGTCTTCTGGTTGTGCCCTCATATTGGACATTTTGTAAATTTTTTTCTTGAAGAATCAGTAATAGATGATAGTAGTAAGGCAATTAAAGACCTTGTTGTATTATTTGGTGATCAGAATAATATAGTTTATTTAGAAATTGTAACTTTGTTTTTGACTTCTAATGCCAAAAGGCAAGTTTAAAGTTATTCATATAAAAATGTTAATTATTCATGATTGTTCTTTTAACTAATTTATACAATTAATAGATTTGTTACAGATATTGAATTTTTTGAATCAAGGAATAAACCATTGGCTCCTTATGTAGCATCAAGATTAGATCAAACAAGAGCTATGTTAAATAATGGTGTTAATAATCCACCATTTAGCAATGAAATGTTAAACAAATTACAAAATAATCAAATTCATTTCAACTATTTTAAAAATATTTTTTCAGAAGCATATAAAGTTGCTTTAAAAAAATTTGAGAAACACATTGATAATCACTCAGCAATCAATCTATTTCGAGCTATAAGATGTTTTAACCCTCAGTATTTAAAATCTTCTAATTCACATCATGACATGAGCTTATATAACACTATACCTGGATTTAGTAACCCATCAGATGATTTAATAGCAGAATGGTGTATTTATTGTGGTCTTGATGAAATCTATGATATGAATTTTGATTTAAATTCATATTGGAAAGAAAAAAAACATATTTTACCAAATTTATCAGCATTGGCAGAAATTTATATTTGGTTGCCAATATCTGGAGTAGATGTTGAACGTAGTTTTTCAAATTATAAAAATATTTTAAATGATAAAAGACATGCACTTTCTAATAGATCTATTGAAATGCTTAATGTTTTATATTTCAATAAGGATACTTGTTAAAATTAATAAAATTAATACTTCAATAAGAAGAATATTTGTTAAATAAAATTTTTTTTTATTTTTTGCCACTTTTACTG